CAAACTGAAAATCAACTTCTGAAGACTATGTGCATGGATACAACTCCGTTCAATCCTCTTGGGGAAACATTTCAACATGATGCACGTTTGCTTCCTATACAAGGAGGGAACTGTACTGAATCCATCACAGGTATTAATTCTAAATTGGAGTCTCTGCTTGGAGGCTCTAATCGAAAAAAGTTACAGAGTTCTGCAATAAATTCCAGTACAGCATCTTTTTCTGATAGACAGTTGGTGGGCTCACAGGAAAGGGGTGCTTTTTCTGTTACCACGTCAGCAAAACTGGGGGAAGAGATCTTAAATGTAGAACAAACTGTTTCGGGTATGTCTGGTGAAGTTACAAAAAATAGGTGCAATGAAAATCTTGCGGTGGTTGCTGAAAATAGTGTTAGAAGTCCTCTTCCTGTTGATCCTCTAGGAAGAGTTAATGGCTGTGGTAAGAAGAGAAGGAGGATACTTAATGCTGTAGAATCTATTGAACTTCTGTGCTTAGAGAGTAAAAAGTTGCATCTGCAGCTGGAGGACAAGCTGTCTGCTTTGCATGGCGTGGTAAGAGGACAAATGGACAAACCCACAGAAGAAGCTAAACTTCTGAGATCTAACCTGCAAGATATTACATATGCTGTGCATGATAGGTCTCATAAGAAGAGAAAAATATCTCATGAAGAGACAGTGGCTATGCAGCAATCTTGTGATGGTCTGCAGTTGACACAGATGCAAAATAGCCTGGAACATTTGGAAGATGCAAATGTATTCAGACCAGCTTCTCAACCTGCCAATAACTTGATGAATTCAACAAAGGTTTCTGGAGAGGTCATATGTGATCCTCATACGATTGACCCTAAAATTTTGGTTGGTTTTAAGGAAGTAGTGAACAGAAACTATATGAAATTGCTGGACTTGGATGATGCTGTGGAGGAGGAATGCTATAGGATGGCAGCAGAGATGCCTGTATCCCCTACTCTTCCTGAGATTGAATTTCCAGGTGTCGAAACATTTGAGGTGGATCAATTTAGACATAGACATGATGAGAATTGTGAAAGATTTTCTCATGAGGATGAAAATGTTGCATCTTCTAATAGTTTTGATGTTATTAACATGGAGAAAGGTTCTAATAAGGTGCCATGTAATAGGGCGGACACTTCGCTTAAAGTATTGCAACATGAAAATGAGTGTTCTCTTGGTACCATTGACATTCCAAGGAGTAATGTGAATGGTATTTGCAGTACCATGCCAGCAGGAAGAGCCTGTTTAAGACATCCCCAGAACTCTGGAGTCTTTGAAAGAATTCCAAAATACTGTGTTGTGTTCTCTGACATCAAGGATGCTAGCAGTATCTCTAGAATTTTTTTTGCCACTAAAAGTTGTATGGCTCAATGCTCTTTGCCTGCTCAGACTGAGTTTGTCGTGCATAGAATTTTACATGCTCTTAAGCTAGAAGAAAATCTTTTAGCCAAGTAAGTGTTCTATTGTCATCAAGATATGCTATAATGTCTGCTGTTGAGGACTGTCTTTGAGTTCTTTACCTCTGATTAGTTCATTCTGATACTCTGCTTCAATTCCAATATCTGTCATTTTGGTTGAGCTTTTCTTTCTAAAATTTCTTGAATTCTTGTTTCAGGGAGAAGGTTTGTGTATTTTTCTCGCTGGTTCTTCTCAACTTGTGTACAGCTACTTCAGGGAAGTGCTCTCTGATGAGGGATCTCATCCCCTGCTTACATTTGTTTGCTGAGCACATAAATGCAGGTACCTTCATACTTTTATTTATGTCTTGGTTTCATTGGATTTGTTATATCTGTATCAGCTCTTGTAATTTTATTATATAGTTGTTTCAGCTTTGACTTTATTTAACTGTTCTTTTGGTGCAGTGATGTCTGATGCTGAGACAAGAAGTGTAGTGGCTGAATTATGTTTGGATGAACTGCTTAGTGTAATTGAGGATTTTCTTATAGAGGGGAGAATTTTGTTGAATACTGATTTGTCTTCTGAGTCTTCTATTGAATGTGATTCAAGAATACATGTCACTGTTGATGGTTCTGATGTAATATTGTTACATGAAGCAGCTTCAGCTGACCTGTTGGTGGCAGGTAGCATTATATTGGGTTCTATATGTGCAGCTGCTGACCGTACTGGCTTTATGTGTGAGGCTGTTTATAACATTTTCCGGGTGCATAGGTATGACATCTCGGTGGTTCTGCTTGTTCTTCATGTGTTTGCTTATGTGGGTGGTGATAAAATTTTCACCTCAAGAAAGCATAGTTTGACAATGACTGTGTTGAAATCGATAGTCGTGTTCCTTGAAAGAGAACATGCACCGGTGGCTACAGCGACACTTTCATTGGTGGCTGAGGCTCAAGCTCAGTACCATGCATGTGTTGGATGCCCATTTTCGAAGGATGTGCTTTCTGTAGATATTGTTGTCTCGTTACTCTTTGAAAAGCTGCAGAATTATGTGCAGTCAGGAATTATGCATCAAGAACTGACAGCAAATTCGTCAAATTCAAATGTCATGTCCATTCAGGATAAAACTGAACAAAATTTGGGTTGTGTCGTTGATATGAATTGTGATGTATCGTGCTGTTTAGACAAATACAGCGTGTCAGGTAAACTGTCAGGATCATTTGTCGCTGGGACTTTGTGTCACATTAGTGATGTCTTATCGTTGATAGAGCTTCTTGCATGCAATATGGTACGTGTTCGAACTAATTATGTTTGTTGTTTGTTGTGAGTGGTACTCTTTTAGTAGCTTTTGATACAACTAATGCTTTTTACCTTTTGTTTTTTGAAAGAAAAAATGCAGAAAAGAAAAAGTAGCGAAAAGTAGTGTTTGGCTATGACTTTCCCTCTTTGATGGAAGCAAAATTTTTGAATTTTTATATTGAAAAAATTCTTAAAGTTTTCTGCCTTTAGTTCTATTATAAATGATATTTGTACTGTTTTAAATATATATATTTTAAAGTAAAAGCCAAAAGGGAAATGCCAAATATTTGGTTTTGGATTTTGCTTTATAGTAGTGACATTTTTTGTTCTTTTGTACTGAGATTTGAAACCTGACTTTTTTTTTTAATGTTTTGTTGAATGCAGAGCTGGGTCTGGACATGTGAGAAAATCATCGCCCAGCTGTTGGGTATGTTGGAATCACCTGTTCTTGAGAACCTCACTCTTGCTATTATTATTCTTCTTGGTCAACTTGGGAGGTATTCTTTTGTTGAATTTTGTCTGGTTTTATATGTTTTAACTTTTCTGGTCCTTGATGTAGTTATTATTGTTTCGGCCATGATGAAATCTTAATGTTTTAATTTTGGTTGGGAGCACCATTTATCCTGTTATATTTGGATGAAACTCAATTTAAGAAAAAGGAAGATTAAATTACTGATTTGGTCCCTGTAGTTATCAAATTATGGGGATTATCCTCTCTTCTTTTATTTCGAGTTTCGAGTATTTTGTTCCTCCTATTTTATCTAATGTGGATTTTGGTTGCTCCTTCAATAATCACGGTAAAATTAGTGACATAGACTGTTAAATTTATGTCATGACTATTGTTTGACTGGCGTGGCAAGGTATAATGTTTTTTTGACTATTTCTTATCAATTCTGTTTTATCAGATTTATTTGTTATTTATTTTAGATAAATATTTTGTTTTGCTTTTTTATTCTAAAGAATAGTCACGTCAGCTAAAAAATGATAAAAGCAACTTCCTGCATTATTGTTTAGACAATCATTGTTAGAATATTTGACTATTTTTTGTTTTAATTTTTGCAATGCATTGTTGTCTTCCTGCTAAAGCAAATGGCTGCAGGCATACGATTATCATCTGCTATTTTGTCAAAACTAATGGGGAAAGAAAGAAAAAAGTCCTGGGGTTTTATACAGTTTTGTGATTTGAAAACATCAGTTACTGAAATAATTAGCTGACATACTGGTATGGATGGTAACCTGCTACCTTGTGAAGATGTACATGAGGATTTGCATTTAGAAGAAATCATAAATTGATTAATATATCATAGGTTCCACTGAGTCTTAGGCTTCAGTTAAAGTGGAAAAGGTGTATGGTTGGTATTGGTTTTGCCTGGACTTATCTGTCTACCTTGTAGTACTGGTAGCTACATGACATGGCATGGTGAATTGTTATGAGATCCTTATTTTATGGGGGAGCATGTCACAGTTATGGGGGACCTACTAATAATAATATACAGCTGAGAAAATTCATAGTTTTTCAGAAGTCTCACATAGCTTTAACATTAAAATTATGTCTTTTTTTCAGGGTTGGAGTTGATGCTGTTGGATATGAAGATAAAGAGGTTGAAAACTTGAGGGTTAAGCTATCTGCTTTTCTGTTTCGGGAGACTACTATTGGAGCGGGTCTTCCTATCCAGCTTGCGACTGTTAGTGCTTTGCTTGGGCTTATATCCCTTGATTTTCAGAAAGTTATTCAGAAGAATGTTAAGCTTCCGGTCATGTCAGATCAATTTGTTCCTACAGATCTTATAAGAAGCTGGTTTCCTTTGTTGACTGAAGAGCAACGAGCAATGTCTATCAGACTCTTCCAGTCTGTTGACTGAGATAGTTGCATCATCAGCTTGCTGTGAAATTCGAGTTGCAATATTTTCAAATTAGGATACATGTAAGGAATTTTGGTAGAGCTTTATCATATGAGCAATTAAAAGTAGTTTCTCCAGACTGGTGGGTTTTGGGACATGAACACCTTTTTGTTTCAGTTTCATGTTACCCCAGTCTGTGACTGCATAGTGTTGGGGCACAACTGTATCCTATTGGTGTTGTCTGTACAAACATTATTTTGATTTGTTCAAAGAAATTATGGAAATTCAAACTTTCCAACTTGAATTTCATTTTTGTTGCTCATGGCTTTTCGTCTTTGCAATTTTTTCCTTTGGAAGTTTTTCCATTAAAATTGCAGTTGCAGAGCACTGTGCAGTTCAGGTTATTATTAGATGATCCCTGTCACCTCTGCTGAACAGGAGTTGGCCACATCTTCCTAGCGAGAAAGGCCCTTTGGCTATGATTGAAGAATAGGAGTCGGCCCTGTGCCGTTTGTTTTTGGTTGATGGGGAAAGACACTTCAGGCTCCCAAACAGATAGTGGCTAGTTCACAGTACAGAATGTTTAAAGCTGTAAGTCTTCACTTCCATCTTTTTTTTTTTCCTTTTTACTGTTTCTTAAATATATATACCAACGCCAAGCAATTATTTCATTGCATGATAGTGTTCTGGCATCTATAGAATACTTAGAACGGCTAAACCCCTGTGAAGGTCATTATAAGAAATAAGAAAGATTGATAGGAGATGATCACATATTGGCTTGAGTAGTTGCCTAGTCAATGGCTTGAGGTCCTATAGTTTGCTTTTGATGCTTTTCCTGCCCCTAACTTTACTGCTATTCTAATTTTAGATAACAGTTGTTAGCAATTTAAGGCTATTTTCTTTGTTAAGGTTTTTTGATAATTGTGCTAACAAGAATAGCTTTAGTGCTATTATTTGTCTACATAAGTAAAATGTAACTTACCTGCTTTTTATCATCCATTTAGAGCAACCTTTTTCTTTGATTTCTTAATTTTTTTTCCTTGTTTTAAAATCACAAAAGAAGTGTTTCAATTATGAATGGTAGTAGCAATAAAATCGTAGAAACTTATTAGATGGCATGGGAAAAGCTTATCAGTTAAATGATTGCTTCTCGCTATATTTCATACTTTGGAGCAATGCAGATGGCACATAAAAAAGAAACCCCAAAGTTTGTGTGTTGGGAAAAATCTCAGTCGAAATGCAAGTGATAAGCAGCAAAAACTTATTAACACAATGCGATGACTCTTTATCTGCTCCTTGTATCCTTTTATATTTAGCAGTCAACCGAGACTGGTTCCTGATATTTTCTCGTTGCAAGCTGTGACATTCTCTTTGGTAACCAAAAAATATAGGGAACTTGAAATCCTGGGAAATTTTCATCATTGTGTTGAAGAAATCAAGTCTTGGTTAGAATTTAGAAACTCTAATTGATATAGAGGGATTGTGCTAGATAGAGTTTCAGAAACATTTATTTATTTGTATTTCCTTTTCCCAGGTGTGGGAAGAGGTGGAATGCTCTGTTCATTTCTAAAAAAATTCTGTGGATCTGTCATGCTTTTCACCCTTGCCAGTCTCTTGAAGTTACCCTTGAAGTACTTTTTGCCCCATTCACTTGCCTCTGCATAGCTTGTGCTGCCCTGGCTGTTGGTTCCCAAGTCCAGATCCCTGTAGTTAAGATAGGCAGCCCTTGGAGCTTTTGAAACATATGGGCTCATGTATTCATATAACATCCTGATCCAGTATATATGCTTGTGGGAAGCCTTGACATCGTTTACTTGCCATTTCACTATGTACTGTATATTGTACAAATTCTCCTTTCTGTGGGGAAAAGGTACTGCAGATTCGGGAATTGTATTCATCTTTCCACCAAAGGGATCCATTATTATGAAAACCATCTCTTCAGCTAAAAACATCTTCCATATTCCTTCTAGTCCTTCTTCAGGTATTGGTTCCCTAACAAAATCTGATTTTGCCTTAAAACTGCTCTTATATAGTTGAGTTTTGTCCAACAAGGCCTCTAGGGGCTGCCCTTGCTGGAATCCTGCAAAATAGAGGGTGGATTCAACCCAACTCATTTGAATGCAGTCCTCAGCCAGCAATCCAAGCACAGGGAAGCTTTCATTCATAAATGGTATAAGTCTGTCAATTTCTCCAAGAAATAGTGAGTTGAAAGAAGCTTGGATGGTTTTGTTATTTCTGTGGCCACTTCCTGGGACATCTTGAATGATGACCCTGATGAACAGATCTTCAGGTAATTTATCAGCAATGTATTGCCACCTATGCACCAGCTTTGTTGCACCTTGTTCTATTGTTTTGGAAATGGTAAAAGCTGTCACTGTCGGTGGAACTCGAACAAGCCTGATTTTCCAAGAAAGTATGATCCCGAAGCTTGCACCGCCACCTCCTCTAATTGCCCAAAACAGGTTCTCACCCATGGCTTTTCTGTCCAAAATTCGTCCATTGACATCCACCAAGTAAGCATCTAGGACATTATCAGCCGCAAGGCCATACTTCCTCATCAAGGTCCCCAAACCACCTCCGCTGAAGTGTCCACCAACCCCTACAGTCGGGCAGAGTCCAGCAGGGAATGCATGGATGCTACTTTTCTTGCCTATGGCATAGTAAAGCTCACCTAGAGTCGCCCCAGACTGAACCCAAGCGGTTTCTTCCTCAACATTGATTTCTATTGCTCGAAGGTTGGTAAGATCAATGATGATAAATGGGGTCTTGCATGAGTATGATAGGCCTTCATAGTCATGGCCACCACTTCGGACCCTGATTTGCAGACCAAGCTTTTTGCTACAAAGAAGGGCTGCGTGGATTTCAGACTCATGGAAGGGTGTGATTATGAGAAGAGGTGTTGAGGTTGAGGAATTCAACCATCTCATGTTTTGTAAAGTAGACCGCAAAATAGATGAATATAAAGGGGAATCTGAGGTGAAGATGATTTCAAAGCTTCTAGTGTAGTCTCTAAACTGGGTTGACATACACCGCACAAAATCGCCATGGATTGAATCCGAAATAGCCTGCGAAATGAAGAGGGATAGCAGAGAAACTAGAACTTTATGTTTCATTTCTCTCTTATCTCTTGAATCCAGGCAACCTGATGGGTTTTGAGTATATATTTAAACTGCACTTTCTTGGATAAAGTGGAGCGTTTCAGCAGCAGTCCTCGCTCTAAGGTCGGCTTGTCGCCTCTGCAGAATTTTATGGTAACATCAAATAGAAGAATGGCGATCATTCCAATCTTGAAAGTGAAGAAGATCCATTAAATTAACTCTCTTGTCCTTTATATCTGAGTCGGCAACCAATGTCATCACCAGCTTTTCCTTACATAATTAATTTAGCAGATATAATGTCTCATTTGTAGTCCAATCAGCATCTTTTTTTTGAATCCATTAACCAAAGACAGGAGTCCTAACTACTACTGAAGAATTCTCGATATGATGCAGTTAATAGATATATTTTGTTATTGTTAATGCTGATATTCGAAACTTATCCGAACTTGAGATGAGTACTAAAATTTATACTCGAATTTGTCTTAAATTTGAATATAAACATATCTAAATCTTATGTTATGGGTTGGATGTTGATGAATATAGTCTGTTGACATCTTTGGTTTTTGTTCTAACATGCGCTACAGTTAGAATGCTAATGTCTGAGAGTTTATTTTGTCGCAAAACAAAAGTAATCAACACAGATTTTGACCCAACAATATAAAAGCTTAATTATAGGGATGTGCATGGGGAATATCTATATGAAAATATAAACTTTTAGCAATGTGTACAATTGCCCACTACTCAATTAGACAGAAAAATTAATTAAGCATTTCAAGTACAAAGATTAATGACTGGATATAAAAAATACCATGTCATGTCAAGAACATTTGATAAGAAAAATCCGGAGAAGATAAACTAAAAAAACCAATGGAACGATACTAGAATTCCTTTAATAGCAAGTTCTTTACAAATATAAACAAGAAGAAGAAGAAGAAGAAGAAGAAAGAAGGGTAATTCTCTACTGTATTCTCAACTTTGAGGTCCCATGTTGATTCTTTTGCATGCACCAGACGCCCAACTTCATATCCGTAACTTGTTTTATTAGCTGCATCCTGAACAAGTCGTCTAGAATTTTTCTTGTTCCAGTTGGGAACAACTCGTAACCTTCTGGAGAGTGGAATGCTTCTGCCACTTGAAAATTTATTGAAGGAAGGAATGGGTTGCATTGCAGGAAACCTGTTGCAGGGAGAGAAGAGGTGTGCTCTGGGAGAAGATAAGGGTGGCTTAACAGCATACTAGCTGTCCACCTTTCGTTGGGATCCCTAGCGAAACACTTCATTAGGAAATTCTTGCCCATACTCGACGTGTTTTCTGGGATGTTGGGTGATTCTCCCCTCAAAAGCTTGTCCCTCAAATCCTTCAGATCATGAAAAGCAAATGGCAATTTACCAGTAAGCATCTCAACCATTATGCAACCGAGTGACCATATATCCAATGCCCCAGTGATGTATCCGATGATAGATTCCGGAGACATGTAAGGAGCAGTACCTCGAAAACCATATTCCCAATCATTTGTGTCTTTGACCCCATACTTTTTAACTAACCCAAAGTCGGCAATCTTTAAAGTATCTAAACTAATCCCATCTTGAGAAGGGAAAACCAGAATATTCTCTGGTTTGAGATCAGAATGGATGTATCCTTTTCGGTGAATATCGACGAGCCCTTCAAGTATCATCCGTGCATAGAACTTAGCATGTCGTTCTGGTATTTTGCCACCGTAGTCCTTCATCAAATCCAAAAGACATCCCCCTGAAGCATATTCAAGAAACAGGTTGAAAATCTTTCTTCCACATTCTACACTGGTGAAACCACCGAAGCATCGAACGATATTGGGGCAACCAATAAACTGTTGAAGGATTTCCTGTTCCTTGTGAAGGGTAGAAGCCATTTCCTCATCAGCAGATTTCACAGCATATAACTGAGCAGTAGGAACACTTGTTTTCAGCAAATATACGATGCCATACGTTCCCTTTCCAAGAACCCTAATCCTCGCTCCTTTCACCTCCATTCTCTCTTAATTAACTTGAAGAACTGATGCTGTTATTAGAATTTTCATATATATATATATGTGATTGGAACTTATTGAGCTCAAAGTTGGTTTTTAAGTTCATATAGAATAAGGATTTTGTTGCTTCCCCTTTAAGTTAAAAATTTGATTCAAATTTCAAAAAAGAAAAAAAGTTATATATTTGATTCGAGTAGAAGACTAGTGATACATGAACACTACTACTTTGTCAGGGTCAACATATCCAGGGGTATCGGCAACCACAGTATAGACATGGCTGTCACCTTCAAGTGTGAACGCCTTGCATAACCCAGAATCAGATAGTTTTGCATGCAAGCTTTCAGTCAACAAGATGTTGCTGCACTTCACATTTCTGTGGATTATAGGTGCAAATACTCCAGTCCTTCATTTCATTTTTTGTTTATTATTAATTAGCATTCATTCCCAAATAAAATGGGAAGAACAGAGATTAAAAAAATTGGGAAAATATGCATGCCAATCAACTTTGTGCTGCTTCCAGGACTATATATGCCAAGTCTTCCTTCCCAATTCAAAACACCTCTACTGCAATTTTTTTCTTTTTCATTTTTCTTTTTTTTTTGAAAATTAAGAATCATTTCAAATCAAAAGCTTTTTTATTTTCATTTAAATGTAATAAAAGAAAAACTAACCATGTTTTGATTGAAGATTAAAATTACTGAAGCTAAGAATCATTGAATTAACAATTTTCCAAAACAAAAAAAAAAAAGAACCATTGAATTGACTTAATTAAGAGTTTGTGCTTATTGGTTAATTTTTGAAGTATTGGGTTTTATTTCTCTCACTTCTCTCTCGATTTTTCCTTCTTCTTTGACTGTACATGATCATCTGTTTTTCGCAGAAAATATCCATTATTCCACATTAATGCATTATACTGATGAACAATTTTATACAGGCATCTCATCTGACATAAACTCTCTTAAGTGAATAAGTTGGAGTATGAGAGGCCTGTGTCTTAATCCTACCTTTGAGATGCCCTGCTAAGGTTTCTCCGGCCATTTACTCATAGACTAGCCCCATGTTAATGCCATCATCGCAATACCCAATAAGCGTTGTCAAGTTTATATGATGAACTCTCAGTAGAAGTTCCACCTACAACCCATAACCCAAAACCCAGATTTTAATCAGTTTTATGTCTCCAAATTAAGTATTAATTAATGCTATGTATAAGCTAGGACCTGATCAATGTCATGCCTCTCCTTGAAACAGCTTATACCCTCATTGAACTGATGATGGAGAAAGCATCTTCACTGCCACCTAAGGGTCATCTAAATAGCAGTGAAAAACTGTTCCAAATCGACCTTTACCAAGAATTGTTTTGAAATTGTTTGTCATCCTTTGGACCTGAGCATGAGTGAACTATTAGACTCTTTGATAAATCCTGTAATTGATGTGTTTTTCTAGAGTCGGTTTTTGGCTTCTTTGTCGATGAAACTGAAACGAGTTCTATACAACTATGCCTATGGAGAAAATCTTGGTGAATAGCAGAAAAGTTTAATGTTCTTAATTTGGATCCACAAATTGTGTTATGGTGGTCGTTCTTAGTATTCGCTAGACAAACATACAAATACCTCGATTGAAGAAGATGAATAATTTCACTAGCTATAGTATCCTCTCCATTTTCTAATGTTACTGTATCCCACAAATTAGGTCCTATATCTATATGAATTTCAAATTGTGGTATTACATTTTTTTTATCATAGTTTCCATACATGAAACCTGCTCTAATTAAGTACTGCTCACTCTTTTTGAGAGTTAGGTTATAACAATTCAGTACCTTTGCCAGACATTTGTTTTAAATTCTGATAATATTCTCTTAGTTTGAAATATAATTTATGTCTTTTGTGGAATTACTATAGCTCGAATCCTTGGATAACTTAAAATAGAGAGCATTTAAATTTGTTAATTTTATAATGAAATTAAATTTATCAGACGATTCTTTATACAAATTTGATTGACCAAATTTGATTGATCTTGGACATGGATTAGAAATGCAAGAGCAAAGCTGACAATTAGCGAGTGAAAGAGGAAATGTCTTGATATCTTCGTAATGAAAATCATTTTCTCATTGAAGGAAGAAGCAACTAGCATCTTAGTTAAGTAGTACAAGTACATATAGTGACAAACATTATCATATTGAATTAAAGTAAAAAACACTAGGTCAATTGTGAAAACAAACAAGTTACAAAATGTATGTAAAATTAATATTTAATCTACCAAAATCTAAAAATTATATATATAATTATATATATATCACTGTTGAAATATTCGTGCTATTGTTGCCTTCAACAAGCGAGTGGGGGGTGTCTTAGCTTCTTCATAAGCATTTTATAGGAAAACAAAATGATTTACAGAATATATTTGTAACTAAGAACATATCAGTGAAGTTTTTGTACTGTTAAACTTCATTCAGTAATTTTCAAAACATATATACATGCATGATTAACACTTAATAACACTTGTACACAGCCAAGAACCAATTGCTAGGACTAAATACAACATTAAACATGCAAGGCAACACGTAAGCTAATGGTGAAGATTTGATGTACGTTGATTAACAGCTAATTGAGCTGAACAGAATGTGCAGCTGGTCTGTGGGAGTTATGGGCAGTCAGAATTAGCCATGATCATGATGCTTGAAGTATGATTCCTTACCGTAAAGCCCTTACAGGTGAAGGTTATCGCTTCCTTATTTTCAGTGGAGACCATAACATGTGTGTGGCATAGACTGGGAGCCAAGCCTCAACAAAGTCACTTGGATATAAGACAATAATTCAATGGAGATCATGGATTTCTAATATGGCCAAGTTGCTGGGTACTTGCAAGGATACGACCATACCATTACCTTCCTAACTATCAAGGGTGCAGGACATACAGTCCCTGAATAAAAGCCAAAGGAAGCATTCGACTCCTGTAGCCGATGGTTGGATCGAAAACCAATATGACATCAAGGATAGTTTCCTTCCTCAAGAAAAATACCCTTCCATTTTCATTTCCTGCTATTGTACACAACACGCTAGGAAGGGTTTATTATTATTTTTTGTATGAATGAAAGATATGAAAGCCATAATAAGAAATAAGAAAGATTGATAGGAAAATAAAGATGATCACATATTGCCTTGAGTAGTCGCCTAGCTGATGGCTTGAGGTCCTATAATTTGCTTTGGACGCTTTTCCTGACCCTAATTTTACTGCTATTTTTATTTTTTTGATAATAACTAATAGCTTTAAATTGATCGAGAGCAATTTAAGGCTGATATCTTTGTTAAGGTTCTTTTTTGATAATTGAGCTAACAAGAATAACTTTACTGCTACTATTTGTATACATAAGTAAAATGTGACCTACCTGCTTTTTGTGATCCATTTAAAGCAAGCTTTTTCTTTGATTTCTCTTTTTTGTTTCCCTTGTTTTACAATTGTTAAACGCTGACATAATATGTTTAGATGTTTATTTGGTCACAAAACAAAAGTAGTATTTGAATTAGAGCACACCCTTGATACAAGTAAACTATTGGGAACAAGAATTTATTGGTTCATCTCTTTCCCTCTTGTTAATTAAACACAATTAAAAGAAACCTCGAAATTCCTTTCTTTTTTGGCAGAAAGGAAGTCCCAAGAGAAACTAAATACTGCCAGCCTTGCTCAAAGCCTTGCTTGTCTTCTTCAAGCAAGTTCAAATGCTCATAAATTAATACAGATTTTGATCCAACGATTTAAAAGCTTGATCAAAGGGATGTGCATGGGGAATATCTCTATGAAAATATAAACCTTCAGCAATGTGTACAATTGCCCATTACTCAATTAGATTGAAAATTAAGCATTTCAAGTACAAATATGGATATAGAAAATACCACGTCATGTCAAGAACATTTTGTAAGAGAAGTCCAGAGAAGATAAACAAAATTAACCAAGGGAACGATAGTAGGATTGCTTTGATTTTTTTTGAAATGCTTGTAACTTCATTTCTTAGTAAGAGAAGGATTTGCAAAATCAGGTTAGTGGTTGAACAAAACGTGCCATAGAGACCTGTGTACCCCTGATCACAGAAGCTTCTTATTCTAGGAAAATCTAAGGCATCACCAAAGATTTGCCAAGCATGAGCAGAAAGCAGGGTTCACGCTATAAAAAAATATGTAGGTTCCAGTTAACAGCTAACATGGAAAATAAATGTACATTATGGAGATTTAACTTCTACTAGGTAAGTTCTTTACAAATATAAACAACAAGAAGAAAGAAGGGTAATTCTCTACTGTATTCACAACTTTGAGGCCTCATGTTGATTCTTTTACATGCACCAGACGTCCAACTTCATATCCGTAACTTGTTTTATCAGCTGCATCCTGAACAAGTCGTCTAGAATTTTTCTTGTTCCAGTTGGGAACAACTCGTAACCTTCTGGAGAGTGGAATGCTTCTGCCACTTTAAAATTTATTGAAGGAAGGAATGGGTTGCATTGCAGGAAACCTGGTTCAGGGAGAGAAGAGGTGCTCTCTGGGAGAAGATAAGGGTGGCTTAACAGCATACTAGCTGTCCACCTTTCGTTGGGATCCCTAGCGAAACATTTCATTAAGAAATTCTTGCCCATACTCGACATGTTTTCTGGGATGTTGGGTGTTTCTCCCCTCAAAAGCTTGTCCCTCAAATCCTTCAGGTCATGAAAAGCCAATGGCAATTTACCCGTAAGCATCTCAACCATTATGCAACCGAGTGACCATATATCCAGTGCCCCAGTGATGTATCCGATGATAGATTCAGGAGACATGTAAGGAGCGGTACCTCGAAAACCATATTTCCAATCATTTGTGTCTTTGACCCCATACTTTTTAACTAACCCAAAGTCGGCAATCTTTAAAGTATCTAAACTAATCCCATCTTGAGAAGGGAAAACCAGAATATTCTCTGGTTTGAGATCAGAATGGATGTATCCTTTTCGGTGAATATCGACGAGCCCTTCAAGTATCATCCGTGCATAGTGCTTAGCATGTCGTTCTGGTATTTTGCCACCGTAGTCCTTCATCAAATCCAAAAGACATCCTCCTGAAGCATATTCAAGAAACAGGTTGAAAATCTTTCTTCCACATTCTACACTGGTGAAACCACCGAAGCATCGAACGATATTGGGGCAACCAATAAACTGTTGAAGGATTTCCTGTTCCTTGCGAAGGGTAGAAGCCATTTCCTCATCTGCAGATTTCACAGCATATAACTGAGCAGTAGGAACACTTGTTTTCAGCAAATATACGACGCCATAAGTTCCCTTTCCAAGAACCCTAATCCTCGCTCCTTTCACCTCCATTCTCTCTTAATTAACTTGAAGAACTGATGCTGCTATTAGAATTTTCATATATATATATATATTGGAGCTTCTTGAGCTAAAAGTTGGATTTTTAGTTCATATAGGACAAGGATTTTGATGCTTTCTCTTTAAGTTATAAATTTGATTCAAATTTCAAAATAAAAAAGTTATAAATTTGATTCAAATTTCAAAATAAAAAAGTTATATATTTGATTCAAGTAGAGGACTACTGATACATGAACACTACTACTTTGTCAGGGTCAACGTATCCAGGGGTACCAGCAACCACAGTATAGACATGGCTGTCACCTTCAAGTGTGAACGCCTTGGATAATCCAAATCCAGATAGTTTTGCATGCAAGCTTTCAGTTAACAAGATGTTGCTGCATCTTGCTTTGTGACCTTTTGTAAAACTTCGATTTTAAGTTGCTATAGGTTAAGATAGCAATTTAAAACCTGGAGCTGATCTTGTTTTCTCCACAGGAATTGCTCTCTCCTGTTGATGAATTAAATGCTCAATTTTTTTTTTTTTTAAAAATAAAACAAGATGTTGCTGCACTTACTATTTCTGTGGATTATAGGTGCAAATTCTCCAATCCTGCATTTCTTTTTTTGTTTATTATTAATTAGCATTCATTCCCAAGTAAAACAGGAAAAACAGAGGGAAAAAAAATTTGGCAACTATGCATGCCAATTAACCTTGTGCTGCTTCCAGGACTATGGCAAGTCTTCCTTCCCAATTCACAACACCTCTGGTGCTATCTACATCCATTAAAAGCTAATTTATGTTTTTTTTTCTTTTTCATTTTTATTTATTTCTTTTAAAAATTAAGTATCATTTCAAAATCAAAAGTTTTTCATTTCTATTTAAATGTAATAAAAGAAAAACTACGGGTTGAAGATTTTAGTTACCAAACTTAAGAATTATTGAATTAACTTAATTAAGAGTTTGCACTTAATGGTTAATGCATCATATCAATGAAAAATTTTATACAGGCGTCTCATCATGCATAAATTCTTTAAGGTGAATGAGTTGGAGTATGAAAGGCTTACGTTTTAATCTTCCCTTTGAGATGCCTGGCTAAGTTTTCTTCAGCGATTTACTTGTAGATTAGCTCCATGTTAATGCCATCACCGCAATACTTAATAAGTGTTATCAACTTTCTATGATTAACTCTCAGTTGAAGTTCCACCCATAACCTGAAACCCAAATCTTAATCAGTTTTATTTCTCCAAATTAGGTATTAATTAATGTGATGTATAAGTTACTATTTGATCAATGTCATACCTCTGCATGAAACTGCTTATACCGTTGAACTGATGATGGAGAAAGCATCTTCATCACCACTTGAGTGTCATCTAAATAGCAGTGAAAAACTGTTCCAAATCCTCCTTTATCAAGAACTGTTTTGAAATTGTTAGTCATCCTTTGGACCTGAGCATGAGTGAATTGTAAGACTTTTGGATGAATCCTGTAACTGGTGTGTTTTGCTGGAGTCAATTTCAGACTTCTCTGTTGATGAAACTGAAATGAATTCAACACAATTATGCCTATGGAGAAAATCTTGGTGAATAGTAGAAAAGTTTAATGTTCTTAATTTGGATCCAGAAATTTTGTTATGGTGGTCATTCCTAGTATTCACTAGACATTACATACAAATACCTAGATTGAAGAAGATGAATAATTTTGCTGACTATAGCATCCTCTCCATTTTCTAATGTCACCGTATCCCACAAATTAGGTCTATATCTATATGAATGTTAAATTGTGGTATTACATTTTTTCATCATAGTTTCCATACATGAAACTTGCTCTGATTAAGTACTTATCCTCCTTTTAAAGGATTCGGTTATAACAATCCAGTACCTCTGCCATACATCTGCTTTAAATTCTAGTAATATTCTCTTACTTGAGCCAGTTTGGACGTAAGTTGTATTTGAAATATAATTTATGTTTGTTGTGGAGTCAGTATAGCTCGAATCCTCAGACAACTAACAATTTAACTTAATAAAATCTAAAAAAGAAATTAAGACAGAAAGTATTTAAATTTTTAGTAATTTCGTAATGAAATTAAATTCATCATACGGTTCTTTATACCAATTTGAGTGACCAAACTTGATTGATCTTGGGCATGGATTAGAAATGCAAGAGCCAAGCTGATAATTAGTGAGTGAAAGAGGAAATATTTTGATATCTTCATAATGAAAATCATTTTCTCATTGAGGGAAGAAACAAATAGCATCTTAGTTAAGCAGCACAATTACGTACATTGCCATAGAGCAACATATTGAATTAAAGTAAAAAACACTAGGCCAATTGTGAAAACAAATACATTTGGAAACTCTTGATTCCTCTTAAGGTTCAATGCTTTCTTCGGTTTGCTATTCTTGATTCTATCCCTACCAAACACTGTCTCTTATCTCGAGGAGTTCACTTTGACAAGGAACAATCTCGCTGTTTATGGTATGATTTTGAAGTGGAAGCCTGCTCACATAGTCATATCATGCAAATTCAGTTGGAGGGTTTGGTGCCTGGTTCTCCAATGGTAGAAGGTTTTTTGCGTTACTCCTGACAGTATTTCATCCTTCATCCAAATGTGGGCCGGCTGCATTTTCACGGGTACCTTATGGAAACATTAGATAACTGTTTGCGGCGCAACATTATGATCCCTATGGCTTACGTGAAATGAGACGATGTTCTCTAACGAGGTTTGGGATGGATTGGAAACTCTTTTTCTGGTTAAAACACGCTCACTCCTTAGGATTTGCGCATTTGAGGGTACCTACTTCATTGACAACCTGAGTTAGTGGATAGAACCGAGCATCCTATCTACCAAAAGGCTTCCTCTCCACTCACTTCTAAGAGTATCATGGCAGCCCCTAGGGATGGAGACCTTAAGTTTAATGTTGACGGTTCCGCCCAAAGGTAAACCCGGGCACACATAAACAGAATATTCTCTAGTTTGAGATCACAATGGGTGTATCCTTTTCGGTGAATATTGCCGAGCCCTTCAAGCATCATCCGTGAATAGTACTTAGCGTGTCGTTATGGTGTTTTGCAGCCGTACTCCGTCGACTCCAACAAACGTCCTCCTGAAGCATATTCAAGAAACAGGTTGAAAATCTTTCTTTCACATTCTACACTCGTGAAACCACCAAAGGCCGATTTTACAGCATATAACAGAGAAGTAGGAATACTTGTTTTCTGCAAATATACGACACCATACGATCCCTTTCCAAGAACCCTAATCCTCACTCCTTTCACCTCCATTCTCTCTTAATGAACTTGAAGAACTGATGCTGCTGTTAGAATGTTCATATATATATATATATATATATGATTGGGTTTTATATTTCATATAGTGTAAGGATTTAGTTGCTTTCTCATTAAGTCATATATTTGATTCAAATTTCAAAAAAAACAAAGTTTATATTTGAGTCAACTGTTTTTTTTTTTAAAAAAAAAGTTACATATTTTATTCAAGTAGAGCATGAGACTGATACAAGAAAACTACTGAAAGAAGAAAATATTGATTAAAAACCCGAATAAGGAGGAATGCTTTGTTCATTCTGGAAGAAGTTTCCAGGATCGACAGCATGTTTGATACGTGCTAATCGCTCAAAGTTGTTCTTGAAGTACTTTTCTCCCCAGACTTTTGACCTCAAGTAGCTTGGATTCCCATATTTGTTATTGATTCCTAGGCTGAGATCTCTGTAGTTGAGATATGCAGCTCTTGGGTTCTGGGAAACATAAGGTTCCATGAAATTATAAAGCTTGTTGATCCAGTCTGTGCGTTTCGTCTCCACATCAGGTCCTCCCTCTTTCCAGTTGGTGAAGTATTGTATATTGTACAAGGTTCCTGCTCTATGAGGGAATGGGGTTGCATCCTGTGGTATTTCGTCCATTTTCCCACCGTAAGGATCCCAAATCATTATGCCGGCTTCGCCTTCTTGCATCACGTTCCATATTGCTTTAAGCCCACGTTTTGTAATTGGTTTGTTCACAAAATCTGATTTAGCTATGAAAAAGCTCTGAAGATTGTTCTTCCTGTCCATCAGGACATCGACGTTTTTGCCTTTTGCGAACCCCCTATCCAAGAATAGAACGGATTCTATCCAACTTAGCTCCTTGCAGTGCTTTTCTTGCAAGGCTAGACCCAACTCAGGAAATTTCTCCTCAATCAAAGGAAACAGTTGATGAAGTGGTCCGAGATACAAAGAATTGAAGATAGCTCGGACTGTTGTTCTACCATCAGATTCCTTCCCCACTGTTAAGAGAATCCTTATAAACAGATCTTCAGGTAACCTGGTTGCAATCTGTTGCCACGTATGAATCAGCGAAGTTGCTCCTTGCTGCAGGGTTATGGGGACGTTGAAAGCAGTAACTTTAGGAGGGACAGGAACCAGCTTGACCTTCCATTCCACAATGACTCCAAAACTTGCAGCACCACCTCCTCTGATGGCCCAAAACAGGTCCTCACCCATCGCCCTTCTGTCGAGAATGTTACCATTCGCGTTAACCAGGATGGCGTCAACTATATTATCGGCTGCAAGACCAAATTTCCTCATCAGGGTACCTTGTCCCCCTCCACTTAAATGGCCGCCAACTCCAATGCTAGAGCAAATCCCAGCTGGGAATCCTAAAGTTTGGCTGCGGTTGGCAATCTGATAATAGAGTTCACCTAGTGTAGCACCAGCTCCAACCCAAGCAGTTTTAGTTTTCAGGTCGACTGTCACTTTTCGAAGATGGAAAAGATCAATGAGAACAAATGGCGTATTTGCTTTATAAGAAAGCCCCTCATAGTCATGGCCGCCGCTCCGTATCCTGACCCGTAGGCCATGATATTTGCTGCAAAGAACTGCAGCTCGGACATGATCAGCACTGCGCGGTGTAATGATGTACCGAGGTCTTTGCCCAACGGAGGAATTGAACCTTAGGTTTTGGATAGATGATTGGAGAATAGGTAAATATTCAGGAGAATGTGCACTGTGCAACAAGTCGTGAACCTGAGTAAGAAATGGAGAATGGAAAGCTATGCATTGGTAAAAGGCTCCATAGAATAGCAGGCCTGGTGATGCAGAAGATACGAAGAAGAGAAAGGGAAATATGGTAAAAACAAGAAGCTGATCATCAAGTCTCATCTTTGACATTGCTCCCCAAGTTTCTTTCTCATATTCCTCTTATACCTTGATAAACATAACTTCAAATGCGGGTAAACAGAAGGCTATTAATTTCAAGAATGGAGAAACTGCAGGTAAATTAAAGACTGATGTAAATGTCGGGAGAACGTATAAACCTTAACCAAGTCATTGTCATAACTTCTTTTCTGCAGCAGTTAAAGAATGTTAATGTTATTTCTCCAGGCTGTTACATGTAGAAATTGATTAATGAGCTGATGAATGAAGGCAGTGAAAAAAGTGTTTCCGACCTGCCGGATACGAACCAGCGACCTAAGGATTATCTGCTTAACTACTACAGTCCTCCGCTCTACCAACTGAGCTAAGGTCGGTTACATTGACATTTAATTTCAGTCCTATTAGTGATATTAATATTTATTAATTTTTGTAAATTGTTATTTTACTAAGAGAAAACATTCTAAAAGAACTGGACTAATTGGTATGCTTGATCTATTATTGTGTTATTTCAAATTTTGGGTTACATTAAATCTATGTCTTTTTTTTTCGAATTTAATTGTTACATTACAAATAGAGTTATTTGAGTTGAGTTGTTTCAAATTCAAGTTATTTCTTAATTTATTAAAGAATTAGAGTCATGTTCATCGTAGGGTAACATATTTTTGTGTAAACAAGGTCTTGTCTCAATGACACACGGAAGAGATCCTGAAACTTTTAAATATTTCATATTCAAGTTTCACTTGTGTGAGTTTTATCCCATTTTAGACATGTGGTGTTGAGTTCAGGTTTGAAAATACCTAAAGTGACCCATTCCATAGACAAATATATAGTCAGCTCAATTTAACTAGCCTGTTTCTTAATCTTTTAAGTTTATTATTGTTATTAATATTATTAGGCACACCAATCTTACTTTCCAACAAAATTAGAATAGATTATTCTTGGACTATTTTTTTACCAGACCAAACATTGCATAGGATACCATTTTGAATAATTGATAAAGGTTTTAAGATTATATTTGACAATGCGTACCAAAAATTGGTGAATAAAAATTGATTTATTTAATATGTTGTATAATTATTTTTTAGAATAAGGTGTAGAGATGCAGTATTGATAATTTTTTAAGCATTTAGTCTAAATTTAAGTTGTATGCCATTTACAAATTGCTACCGATAGCGGGTCATTTTGGATTTGTTGAATCATCTTAAATATTTTATTTTAGACGTTCGAGTAGTTAATTTTGTTTTCAAATAATTTCATGTTTTAATTATATTCGTTCAAATTGACTACATACCATGTATTATCTTAACATATTTTGGATTAAGGTTAAATTTGATTTGTAATGGATTAGGTTATAACAAATAGCACCACTTCTATAATAAATTTATAGATCGAATAACTAATATTCATTGAAAATGAATATATATATATAATATAATTATACATGTATATCTCTATATATGTATATAGGTATAAGATAACAAGACACAATTGTTTCAGGCTTAACTTTAATTTCTATCTTTTTGCTTATTTTATTTTTATCCCTTCTTTATTTGTTTGCCAAGTGGTATGCCCTTCTTTTTCTTTTTATTTTCTTTTACACGACATTGCCGGTGGTTTTGGTCTCAAATCTTGAGGGGTGGTGGGTAGGACACATAAATATAAGTGTGTTGTCTTCAGTTCCCTTGTTGTGGTCCTTCGATAATTTTGGAACTAGTTACAGATATTTCTAGAGCGGGCCAAGGTTCCCTTACATTAATGCCAAGGGTTTATGTCCCATCCATTTGCCATAGCTAACAAAAGATGTGTAGATATTTCTAACCTGAGAACAAAACTGATAACCATTCATATTCAGCTAAAATCTAAAAATCTCCTTCAAAACACTTCAAAATGATATTTTGATCTCTTTTATTTTAAACTAATATTTTTGATCTCTTGACTAATAACACTTAGTCAATAATTAAAAAAAATTAAACCTAATGCTATATAAATATTTTAAGACATGACTTTTTTTTTCTTTCAAAAAACTTAAGTGACTATTTAGATGTTTTCAAGTTGTCACGAGACTTAAAATCAATTTTTAGAAGAGCACTTTTTACGGTAATGGCGTTGACCAACAAACTACAACTCAATGAGCTGATTTACTTAGTTGCCAACATGATTCCCTTCCTACTTCTTACCTCGACCTTCCCTTAGGAGCCCTGGTTGGCTCTACAAGCATTTGGTAGCTGTTGTAATGTGCAGATTTGGAAATCTGACTGCTGGATGCTGAAAACTTAAGAGTTATCATCAATCTTTTTTTATTTAGGTGAGATTGGTCACCTATTAAATTTATTCTTTTTAACGGAGTCCTAAATTGATTTTAGGTCTGTTTAAAAAATAATAAATTGGTTTGCGAATTTTTAAAGTTGAGTTTGGGAGTACATTTATGCACAAAAAAATATTAGCAATTCCGTGACACCTCGTTCCACGAATGATACTATTTAATCATATGTTATCCTATTATAGCCTAAACTATTGATTTTATTTTTATGTTTCTCTAATTATAATTTATTTACTTTATTTTTATTTTATTAACTAATTAATTATTTTATTTCATTTTACAGGTACGATGTGCACATGTTGCACTTATGAAATGCGTGGTATAAAATCTAGATAATTCCAAATAAAAACCTTTTATTGAGGATACTTTCTGGATCCGCCCATCATACTGGTGAGATCCAGAGATATTCTCTCACCTAGAAAAATACTTGGGGAAACTCGCCTTCGCAAGTTTGACAAGTCAATCCCATCATCGGGGTAATCGTTTGCAAGTAAAAATAATATTTTTTGTGAATGCAAATCTATTATGAGTGGATGTCTTTTATTAAATATATTTTCAGAGTCCTCCCATCATGTTAGTGGGACTCGGAGATATCTTTTCACCTAGAGAATTTTTCAAAAAAACTCATCTTTTCAAGCTCCTCGAAAAGTCTTATCATCGGGGTTTTGACTTATGCACACAATACATCTACATGTCATGACATTTAACAATGATTATGTGTAATGTGCCTATAAATTTCAATATTCGTTTCTTAATCTTCTTACAACTCTTTTATTATCTCTTTGAAATTTCTCTTTTTTTTATTGTTTACCTTTGTGTGTCTATATATATATATATATGTATATATCATGAAATAAGATTTTATGTTTATTATTCTCATCCAACTATATTTTATTTTATTATATATATTTTTTATACTTAAGTATTTATCTATTTTACGATATATATTTTCCTTTTACCCAAATGTTATTTTTTAACCAAATATTTTATTTCATAATTATTATTATTTGTATATATTTTTTATAACTCAACTTCTTACTTACATTTCATTAACCTATCCAATTTTCTTTTTAACTAACTATTCTATTATTTATATATATATATATATATTATTATTGTTGTTATTTTTATTGAGACTCAAAATTAAAACTCTCTCATCATACTAGTGAGGTCTTAATCGAAATCCCTAACTTAGAAAAGTTCATTCAAAATTATGATTTCTCGAATTCAGAAAGAACATTCCATCATCGACATAACCCAAATAATATTTTTCCTATATTACTATTTTTTTAAAAAGACGTGAATAGCCTACTTTTGAGCAACAACATTATATATCTTTTTTGCATTAATCAATTCTAGATATTATTTATTTTTTATTGAGCTATATGCTTATTTTTACTTTTCATATACCTATATACATTTCATATACTAATCTATTTTCCATTATTATTATATATTTTTTGTCAAAGTAAATTTATTCCTACATTCCATACAAACTAAAATTACTAGTAAAATAAGTTGAAATAACATATAAGCAAAAAAAAAAAAAAAAAGCTCAACAAAATAAAATGAAATGGCCCAAAAAATCTCACCTTGTTTGGGCTCACCTTAAGTCTCAATTTTCTGAACTTGGTGAAGGTCTAAAAATGGAAGAAAGTGGCTCTAAAAGGTGGCTTTGGAGTTGGTTTCAAGAAATTTGATGAAAAACTCTTCCATTTCTAGAGGTTTGACTATGGCTTCTAGCAGTAGAAAAATGGAGTTTTTAGCAATCAAAATGGAGTTTTTCATCAACAAAAATGTAAAGTTTTGAGAGGTTATGGAAAAAGAAAGAGAATGAACTCAAGAACATTAGATTTGGAATTCAAATGATGCTCTAATGGTGGAATCAAGAAAAGAGAACAACAGAAATGAAGGGAGCAAGAAGAAATATAGAGGTGAACGACTAATTCATGTGGTTGGAGAGCTCCCTTAAGTTGATGAGGAAAAAGAGATTTATTCTTAGGGTAGATTAGGTTGCACATTTGACCATATTACCCTTAATGTCTTATTCATTATTTTCATTATTTATTTTTCCTTTTACTTTATTTTTCTTTTATTTTTTATTCATTTTTTTCATCTTTTGTTTTTTTTTAATTAATTTATTTAATTTAAATATATATTTAAAAATAAGTGTCTACAACTCCCCTTTTTGCACGTTTTTGAAAATTAAGGATCATGCAATGATGTAGACATCTTGCTTTAAGCTCCTCATTTGAAGGCTTCACAACTTTAAAGAATATTAAGAAGGCTCCACAACTTTAAAGAATATTAAGAAGGCTCCACAACTTTAAAGAAAATAAATGATTACCCAGAGTTCTTGGAGATGTTCCCAAAGATTTTGAAGTTGTACTCGAAGGTTTTGAAAATATACTCGGAGGTTTTATAAGAAAAGGTTGCTCCTCATTTTTAAACGAGGTTGTGTAACTTTAAAGAAATATTAATGCTAGTTACCCGGAGGTGTCATAAGAATGTACTTAGAAGTTTTGAAAATATATCTAGAGGTTTTAGAAAATGTATCCAAAAGTTTTGAAGATATACCAAGAGGTTTTAAAAGAAAATGTTGCTCCCCATCTCAAAATGAAGCTACTTAACTTTAAAGAAATATTAATGTTAATTACTCGAAAGTGTCATAAGAATGTACCTAGAGGTTTTAAAA